TTATTCATGAAATTGTGTATACCTTTTTTATTACAGATTAGCTGTTACCGCGTGACTTCATCCGCATAAAATTATGAAAATTTTATTTCATTGTTTACATGTCTCAAATTATCAATTGCAAATGTCAAAATAACATGACGTGATGACAAACCATGGCAACCTTGCTTCCTTAATGTTGGCAGCATATAGTTTATGATCCCTTTCCCACATGAAGGTTTTTTTTCTAATTTATTTATTCCCCAAATTTAATACCGCAGTAATATATAGCCCAAAGCGTGTCGTAAGTGTAGGGCTTTTTATTAATGAAAGAATTATTCAAAAATACGCTGTGATTGCTGACATCCTATGCCACAAAGTAGTGAGTGTTTACGCTTTATTATATTAGTATAGACTATGTTTAAGAAATTTTCAGGTTAAGAGGTAAGTGGTTATATTGAGTGTTCGTTACGAATATCAATTCTTAGGACCCTAAGGTTTACAAGAACCCCTTGCATTTAAGGTTAAGACCGTCCTGAAACCTAATTTACAAAACATAACAACCAAATTACTAGACTTGTGAGTAATCTAGATGTATTACTTTGTCCATCTTTACTACTATACTAATATTATAATGAGGACATATTTGTATTTTTGTATGTATTGATATAACGTATATCTTACGGTGAAGGAAAACATCGTGATGCAACCTGTATATATCGGCGAAATAATTCAAAGATATGTGTGAAGTCAACCAACCCACACTGGGCCAGCGTGGTTGACTATGGCCTAGCCACTCCTTATTAGAGTAGGCTCCGAGCTCCTCGGTGGGGATATATAGTGAACTGGTAATGATGATATAACTAAGTACTGGACCAATTTCAAAAATTCTTACACCATTAAAAAGCGATGTTATCACTGAGTAACAAAGGCAATATTTTTACTATTTAATTTCACGCGGGCGAAGTCGGGAGCCACAGCTAGTTAGATATAGCTGAATACACAAGTACTTACGCATATAATTTTTCACACAATCTATACATTCTTCTGTCCTTTAAGAATAAAGGATCCAAGAACTTGGACTTCACGCAAGGTAAATCTAACGTAAGCTGTACCTTTAGAGTGCGCATACCTTTGACTATCGCACAACTGTTTAGTCTCGCTTTGATTCCTATGAGCTTATATGGAGGTGGGTAGACTTGATTTTTAGTTGTGCTAAACAGTCGAATTGGCTAAACAAAGGACGATCGCACAACCAACGGCGGATCCAGGGGGAGAGGGGGGGTTATGCGGGTCATGACCCCCCATGAGCTGGTTAGTCACAAGCTTGACAAAATATATTTACATATTTTGTCAAGCTCTTAACTTGACCACGACTATGAGACCTCCCCCCCTCCCTTGGCGTCAAAGTTGAATCCGCCCTTGCGCAGAACAGTTGTGCGACTGTTTAATCAAAGGTGTACGCCCGCTCTTATAGGTATACTCATACTAATATAATAAATGCGAAAGTTTCGATGGATGGATTGTTACTTTGTAGCCTAAACTGCTAAACGGATTTCAATGAATTTTAGGATAGCTGTAGATTGTAGTCTGGAAGCACACATAATCTACTCGCTTTTTTTATTGCACGCGGACGGAGTCGCGGGCGAAAGCTAGTTTTAATTATAAAGCTCTGCACGTCCTTGAACTCAGTACCAACGCTACGCCAACCGATGAGTCATAGTTAATAATTTTTTATACGTTCTACGTATGACTTTAGAAATTGTAGTTACATTAAACTTAATGTCAGTTTAACCTAACTTATATTATTCTATTGATATTTTTATTGTAGCAACTTCTAACGTTTAAAAAAACTAGCTGTTGCTCGCGACGCCCGCGTGAAATTAAAAGTACAACATGTTACTCACGGATAAATTACTTTTTTAACGGTGAAAGAATTTTTAAAATCTACCCAGTAGTTTTTAAGTTATTTCAATAAA